GCTGTCGTACCTACAATGTTTGTGCACTGTGTAAACAATGAGTGACGTATACGCGCGAGAGATCACTTCAGGCGCTTACAAAAACTACGCCAGAGCGCGTACACACCTCACGCACCGGATGCCGTGCGCGCTCAAGGCAGTTGGACATAGTGGTGTATTAGAGGTAAAAAATTATATAAATACTGTTCGGTTTCTCACACAAACCGATCGTTTCGTGTCTTAGGACATCAATGTGTCGTCACGAGATGCAGGGTTTAATTTGGATTTGTCTGTGCATGTTTTTTTTACTCTCATAGATTTTGTTACCATTGCCATGCATTATACGACTGATAGACTGCAACAGTTGGAGTTAAAAATCATCATTTGTGTTCTACTGAAGAAACAAAGTCACCTACATCTTGGATGCCCTGGGGGTAAGCAGATAAACATCAAATTTTCATTTTTGGGTGAACTATCCCTTTAAGTGTAACGACAAGAACTCTCCAGCGTGACGTTGGCGCTAGAGATCACATCTTTCAGTCTGCAGTGCATTATGTCTGAGGAAAACAAATCGGAAATAACGCCGCTGACGGACGGAAGTTTGCATGTTCAAGATGGCGCTGGACGGGATCGAGCAAGTAAGTGATATTTTTGTGTTAAATCTTGAAATATGAACAGCACAGTTAACTGTGTTTTATAATTCAGCAACACATATTGCATATGAGGAACGTGCTGTAACTGTAGTGTTAGGAAATATAAGATAGAATGGCTGACGTTAAGACGCGTTTGTTCCGAGTGAAGCAGAGTTTGCTGTCTCATTGTGTCACACTGACTAGGACTGATCATAACATGGGATAAGTAGTTACAACATGACAAATAATTAATGTTTAGCTATAACGTTCAGTATCACTGATAATAACAATAGAAATTTCTCTTGTCTAATAATAAGAGAAGTCTCCGATAATCAAAACTCTGATTATAACACAGAGAATCAAAATCGCTCGTGTCTGATCATAACATCATAACAGAAATCTCAACTCTCTAACATGAGGAATCTCTCATTACTGTTGAAATGCTAAATGGTTCATTTCTAAGAAAACATCGTGAATCATCACTTTACTTCATCCGGCACTACCTGACTATTAATAAACCGACATTTTATGTTATTAATATTATTGTTAATAATATTTTTTTCCAGATGGATATTGAGGACAGTAAAGGAGGCACTGGTCTCCGACAGTATTACCTGTCTAAAATTGAGGAGCTTCAGGTAAGAATAGCCATGAAATAGTTTGACTGACAGCATTAACGATGTTAAGGACCCTTGTAAAAAAGAAGTAACCTACACTTTAGTATGCTTGTAAAAAGAGTGTTTATTACGGAAATAATATAATTTAAAAGAATATTTTGACAAATGAATGTAATGTTATTGGATACTTAATTGCATGTTATTTACAATAAAAAATGATGTTTTATTTTAAATTTCTATTAAATTCAGGTCGTTGAACTTAAGAGAGTTTTGACCCACTTAAGTACATCTTTATAATATGTCATTTCATAATTCTATTGTTTTAGAAATATGATTAAAGTGTACTGCTGAATGTACTGACAAGCATTTATGATCAACTAAAATATACTTCCATGCCATTTCTATTAAAACTTGTATGTCATGTATTAAAATATTGTTGTAATAGCATATTTGTAATGATAAAGCAGCAATTTGGAAAATTTAAAATATATTACCTTTCAGTGATATATCAACTAAAATTATAATAATGTTAGTCAACACTTCAAAAAAATGTAGTTCATTAAAACACAACCATAAATTTAAACATAATGATTTAAAATGTACTTTAAGTACACTTAAGTGACTTTTTCTCATTCATATCATGTGCAACTACATTTTATTTTAAAAAATATACTTTTAAGATTTGAAGTACACTACAAATGCAGATTCAGAACAATTAAGCACACTTCTTTTTCACAAGGGTATGTTGTGTCTAAATGTGCTTGTCTCTTTACTCAGTTGACAGTGAATGATAAAAGCCAAAATCTCAGACGTCTGCAGGCTCAAAGGAACGAGTTAAATGCCAAGGGTAAAGCCATTTCAACCAGCTTTCTCATAAATGTCACTTTGTGGTGTTCAAATGCATATGCCAAATAGAATATGCTAAATATGTCATCAGTATGTAATTTGTGCTGTTTCTTTTAGTGCGCCTCCTGCGTGAAGAGCTTCAGTTGCTGCAGGAGCAGGGGTCTTATGTAGGAGAGGTGGTGAGAGCCATGGACAAGAAGAAAGTGCTGGTCAAGGTTTGAGAGCCATGATTTCCTGTTTAATTTCATGAGCATGATTTGTGCTGAAATGTAACAATACAGTTTTGTTAATCATTTGTATTTATGCTTTGTCTTTAGGTGCATCCTGAAGGAAAGTTTGTAGTGGATGTGGATAAGAACATTGATATAAATGATGTAAGTGTTTTGTTTTGGGTTTTTACTAAGACTGGTTAAACTGATAATCATGATTATTTTGCTCAAAAATTATAATCACGATTATTAATCACAATTATTAAGAGAACATCAACTCATACGCAGGGTGTATTTTTCATCATCTAGTTTCCTGTTATGTCCTATTTATATTATATACATTAACACACTCTTTACATTATAAAAACTGGTAAAACTCTTAAGAAGTTTCTCTCAAAAGCTAAAACAGTAAAATTCCTAATAATAACAAATTATGGAACCGTATATCTATTAAAACAAGCAAAAAAGACTCATGACGCATTGAGGTTGAATAAGTGCATGTACTCAGCAACCACAATCGCAAACAATATAGTTGAGATTCATGAAAAACAATATAGTTGGGATTCATGTTTGGATTTATTACAGTTCATCACTCCGAAGGTTTGCTCGCAGATTTAGTCGCTGCAAATAGCACAAACAGCTGTGCATGGTTGTCAGGTTGAGAAGATTAAATAAAAGACAAAATGTATCATTTTAAAAGAAAAGCTCCAATTGGGGGATTTAAACTCTTGACATCTGGCAACCCCACAGATAATACTTATACAAGGTATTGGTAGTGTCAAAAAAAAACAAAACATTTTTACATTAAATAACCACATTAAAGAAGACAAAATATTGGTCACAAATTACAATTAAATGTGCATCCCTAGTTTTTACAGTCACAAATGCTACCTCAGAATTTCAGGAGAGGATACAGTTTTTGTCTGGTGGCTCATAAAATAGAAAAGTTTTTAAAAAATGTACTTGTAGATTTTTTTGCATTAATGTTGATAGTAAACTAAATCCTCATTTCCAACAGGTAACTCCCAATTGCCGTGTAGCACTTCGAAATGACAGTTACACACTTCACAAAATCCTGCCAAACAAAGTTGACCCGCTCGTCTCACTGATGATGGTGGAAAAAGTGCCAGATTCAACGTACGAGATGATTGGAGGGCTGGACAAACAGATCAAAGAGATCAAGGAAGTGATTGAGCTTCCAGTTAAGCACCCAGAATTGTTTGAGGCTCTAGGAATTGCGCAGCCTAAGGCAAGTGATGACATAGCTTATTCATGTCAGGTTAATAATGTCATGTAAAAGAGTGCTACCTTCTCAATAGTAGGTCTGTTGGCCTGCCAGATCTACTTCATCTTCTGTAATGTTTTTGTTGGTCTGCAGGGTGTGCTGCTGTATGGACCACCTGGAACTGGAAAGACCCTGTTAGCCAGAGCTGTGGCCCATCACACCGACTGCACCTTCATCAGGGTGTCTGGATCAGAGCTGGTGCAGAAATTCATAGGAGAAGGTTGGTTGTGCTTCCAGACAAATCCAATTTTTTTAAAACCTGTACTTTTTTTCTGTGGAACCCAAAAGGAGATGTTTAGCAGAATGTTCTTGCTGCTCTTTTCCTTATTATAAAATCATATATTGCTCTGAAAGATCTTTTTTTATTATAATTTTTTTTTTTTAATTAGTCTGATTTATCCTTGTTTGACTCTGTGTGTACATTCCAGGAGCTCGTATGGTGCGTGAGCTGTTCGTCATGGCCAGGGAACATGCGCCCTCCATCATCTTCATGGATGAGATCGACTCCATCGGCTCGTCTCGGCTGGAGGGTGGATCAGGAGGAGACAGTGAGGTGCAGAGAACTATGCTGGAGCTCCTCAACCAGCTGGATGGGTTTGAGGCCACCAAGAACATCAAGGTGAGAAGCAAACACCTGTAACCTATGTGCTGATCCTAACATGAAAAGGGGTCTCATCTCTGGTTTTAGAACTTGGTAGCTTTTTATTGAATTCGTAAAACGCATAGTTGTGAAAACACAGCATGACTTAGTGTGATTGTAAAATACTGAGATTTAATTATAGAAAAATCTGGTACACTGCATTTTAAGTGTGGCACTGTGGTCTTTTACACATGAGCAACTCATGATCTAGAGTTTTCAGTGTCTCAGAGCAGCTCAGTTTACAATAAAACTGCTCCACACGGACTCCATCTCTGCAAGCGTTGTGAGTTGGGGTCACTTGTAATGTGCATTTGAAAATGTGACACACGTCAACAACCTTCCCAAAATGATATGCAGATTCACACATAAACCTTAGTCGATCAAAGAGAAGCTTCAAGGGCTCCATTTGGTTTTCCGCCAAAATAAAATCTCTATAGTTCAACATTTGAAAGAAATCAGCAACAACAACAATAATAATAATAATATATTGCTATTCAAAATATTATTTAATTTATAACATCAATAAAGAAATATATTAGTAGTGTACTATTAAAAAACGTTTTTAATGATTATTATTATTATTATTAAATGCTCTGATTTTAGCTTTTGTTTTTGGAATTTGAATAAATCAAAAAATTATTAATGATAATATAATAATCATTTATATTTTTGTTGTTGTTGTATAGTGTATACTGAATAGAGAAAACAAAGCATGTTTTCCATCTTTTTTTTCTTTTGCTGATCACATGCCTTAGTACTATTAAAAGCTGTTTGCGAAAACTGGTCAAAGGGTATGGTTACCAGACATTGCTCATTCAACTGCTTTTCCAAACATCACCACCAGGGGTGCTGTGACCAAACAAAACTACTCAAACTTACATTGATACTATTTCTGTGCTTGGCTCCAGCTGTCTTTTTATAATTGTCTTTAAGGAAAGTCTGAGTTAACGGAATATGTTCTTGTTTCCCTCAGGTTATCATGGCAACAAACCGTATTGACATTCTAGACTCTGCACTTCTTCGACCAGGCCGCATTGACAGGAAGATTGAATTTCCCCCTCCCAATGAAGAGGTTAGCTGGGATCGCTATGTATTTTTAAGTTTTCAATATCATCTTGATACTGAAATACTGATTGATACTGATACTTCTGTTTTTGTATAACTCTCTATTATTGAAAGTATAAATACTAGCAGTAACCTCATAGTGTTATGTTGTCCTCCTCAGGCTCGTTTGGATATTCTGAAGATCCACTCCCGTAAGATGAACCTGACGCGTGGTATTAACCTGCGCAAGATTGCCGAGCTGATGCCAGGACTTCTTCGACCAGGCCGCATTGACAGGAAGATTGAATTTCCCCCTCCCAATGAAGAGGTTAGCTGGGATCGCTATGTATTTTTAAGTTTTCAATATCATTTTGATACTGAAATACTGATTGATACTGATACTTCTGTTTTTGTATAACTCTCTATTATTTAAAGTATAAATACTAGCAGTAACCTCATAGTGTTATGTTGTCCTCCTCAGGCTCGTTTGGATATTCTGAAGATCCACTCCCGTAAGATGAACCTGACGCGTGGTATTAACCTGCGCAAGATTGCCGAGCTGATGCCAGGAGCGTCTGGTGCTGAGGTCAAGGTGAGTAGAGCCCTGCACGGGCCTCAAATTTAGGCCCTAGCCTGGCCCTGGCCCGAGACGCTCAGTGTCCGACAGCTCATCAGAATTCTTGGCCCGATTCTGACCCGAGCCCATCTTTTTTTCCTCCTTCTCCCAAAACAGCTTATACTACCGTTTCAGCTATTAAAATGGTTCAGTTTTGTATGTAATGTCAAAGTGATTATTCTTTCGTTTTTTTTTAATTAAGTTAATTTAAAACGTTTGGAGCATTTTTTTGTTCGTTAAATGTGCGTTTTGTTTTTTTGTTTTTTTTAAAGTAACGACCAATCGGCCAGCGGCAGAGAGTGAGCTGATAGCCTATGTTTGATCAATTTAGCCTTCTCAAATCATCACGACTTGCCTAAAATAAAATCTATAGATATAAAACAGTTCAAGCATATTACAATGTTAGTTGAAATGTTTAACCTATAAATGTGCGCTATTAGATGCATATGTAATCGTTTGTGCGGAGAGCTAAAGCATGCTTTACAGGACATGGAGGCGCCGGCGCCATCACTTGCATTGGAAACAACGTAAAATATGCCGTCATTTTTGCTCATAAAGGTAAGAGTAATACATCACTCGGAACTGTAAAGGGTCTACTTTTATTTGTGTGCACTCACAATATCAACAAAATGTTGTGCTTTTATAAAATAAATAGGAAAACAGGGGATGCGCATTCTGCCATCTCGGTTTCGAACAGGAGTGCTGAATGATGAACTGAAACTCAGCGAATTGCCTCACAGACATGATATATATATATATATATATATAGAAAGAGAGAGAGAGAGAGCGAGAGAGAGAGAGAGAGAAAATATTAATATGAAGAAGAAAAAACAAAAAAATAAATAAATAAATATATATAACAAGTATATTTAGCTTATGTTATATATTAATATATAACATAAGCTAAATATACCAATTTATGTCACTAAAATTTGCAAATATAGTTGTCGATTTCACCCAGACGTGCAATTACCACTGAAGCCAAAAAACAAACAAACAAGCAAAAAAAAAAATAATAACTTAAATAAAAAATAAAAATAAAGAACATAGAGCCCTGCACGGGCCTCAAATTTAGGCCCTAGCCCGGCCCGTGTCCAACAGCTTATCAGAATTACCCGTCTTTTTTCCCCCTCCTCCCAAAACAGCTTATACTACTGTTTCAGCTATTAAAATGGTTCAGTTTTGTATGTAATGTCAAAGTGATTATATTTCTTTCGTTTTTTTTTTTATTAAGTTAATTTAGAACGTTTGGAGCATTTTTTTGTTCGTTAAATTTAAGTTTTTGTTTTTTAAAGTAACGACCAATCGGCCAGCGGCAGACAGTGAGTTGATCTTAGCCTATGTTTGATCAATTTAGCCTTCTCAAATAATCACGACTTGCCTAAAATAAAATCTATAGATATAAAACAGTTCAAGCATATTACAATGTTAGTTGAAATGTTTAACCTATAAATGTGCGCTATTAGATGCATATGTAATCGTTTGTGCGGAGAGCTAAAGCATGCTTTACAGGACATGGAGGCGCCGGCGCGATCACTTGCATTGGAAACAACTTAAAATATGCCGTCATTTTTGCTCATAAAGGTAAGAGTAATACATCACTCGGAACTGTAAAGGGTCTACTTTTATTTGTGTGCACTCACAATATCAACAAAATGTTGTGCTTTTATAAAATAAAGGATACATACAGGATGCGCTTTCTGCAATTTCGGCCAGGAGTGCTTCACAATGATGAACCGAAACTCAGCGAATACTTGCCTCACAGACTTGCTAAATATATATCTATAGAAAGCTTTAAATTACTACTTTAAAACAAATCTAAAACAAAAACTCTTTCATTATAAAATCCGTAAAGATGCACTTCTCTCTAAAGGCGTGTCTAATGAGGAGATAGCGAGTCAGGATCTTCATCTTTGCGACACGGACTCAGAAAACACTAATTTATTAATAAATAACTCAAATATCTCCTTACTATTTCCCCCTGACACATTCATGGTAATTACTTTTGCTGGGGCTTTGCGGCACGCTTTAGCCTGTTGCGTGCGTTTTTTGCTGTTACGTGCAAGGATATGTTTGCAGATTCTGCACTGCACATGACCAGTTGGCTCACTGTTTGCCGTGGTAATCAAATCAAAACTCTTCCAAAATGCAGCTTTTCCCGAAGCATTGGGAACTTTTAGTAACTCCCAACGCTCCAACTTCTCCCTGATGCTCTGCATGGTCAACTGTCACCTGTATGCTAATGCGTGCGTATATGCGTTGCGTATTGCATAGGCAATATAACAATATTTCATACAGTAGCCTATGTGTGCTCTGCGCGTATATGGGCACAATAAAAGGAGAGAAGATGAATGAGCCCGAGCCCGACTTGTAAAAAAAATAATAAAATGGCCCGGCTTGCAGACCTCTAAAGGTGAGGTCTCAGTCTCCACCATGCATGACGCAGAGCTGCGTTCATTTCCAGTCATTTATAGACATCTATACGCCACATTTTCAACAAGCTGTTTTTATTTGTGCTTGTCTGACAGGGTGTCTGCACAGAGGCAGGGATGTATGCTCTGAGAGAGAGGCGAGTCCACGTTACCCAAGAAGATTTTGAAATGGCAGTAGCAAAGGTACTGAAATCATTTTCTTTTTCGATTGTGCTCTTGGTACAAATAATATTTAAACCTACCAATTCTTTTTATGGGAAAATATTTGTTTTCAGTGAATAGCTCTCATTTATAATATACTGTATGTTTACAGGTGATGCAGAAAGACAGTGAGAAAAACATGTCCATCAAGAAGCTCTGGAAGTAAACATTAGACAATGTAATGTGCACTTTTTTTGTGACTTTAAGTTGCTTCGTCACCCAAATGTATTCAAAATAAATTGTTTCTCACTTAGCATGATCTGTTTTTCTTTCCATTTGTTAAAAAAACTGCACTTAGAAATGCACTTGCATTGACAAAAGTTGATTATCACATAGACCTTCACTGTAACGGCTTAAATGATTTTTTGAAGACAAAGGCCAAAGAAGAAAAAAAAAAAGCACAAAATCCCCAAACTAAAAGTAACGACCTAAATTAGAACTTCATTCGCACACAGAAGCTTTTGTAACTACATTTCATGATTATGAATCTTTAATGCGGAGTATGCATTGTTTCAGTCTTTTCTGTCCAGGACATTTGAATTGGAATGATGCATTTGCTGGGTTTCAAATAAAAGCATATGCATTTATCAGAGAAGAGGAGACTTTACATTTAAAAGAGCTCTTTTGCTTAATGAGTCTGAATTCTTTCATTAGTCCAATGCTGGTTTTGTGGTTAAGCATGAGTTATTTGTTCCTAATTGTCATTTCATTAAAATGAGCTCAGTACTGTCAAAATTCTTAACATGGACATCAAAACACTTTTTAATTTTCCCATGACCAGAAAAGTCCACCACTTTGTTTTCAGATTTAATACAACAAATTAAAAAAGGGGGAATTGATTGCATAATAACTAGAGCATTGTGGGAAATAAACCAAGATACTTTAACTGAAATAAATGTTAATAAAAGTTCACTAATGTATTCTAAGAGCTGTATAAAGTAATTAAAAATGTTCATGGATTGAAACTCTTTTGATTAATATAATTAAAAATTAAATGCATTTAAAACCAGCTTGAAAAAAATCAGTTCATTTGATTCTAGTTCTGTTTTAAATTTAATGTTTGTATCTGAAATGGAATTGAAAGTCATTCTCAGTTCTGCATGGTGTAAACGGTGCTGTTTACAAACCCAACCCCGGATGACTGCTGCCAGTAAGTGTGCAGCTCAAAGTCCTCTACAGACGTTCCAGTCACTTTTGGAAAGCACGTACAGTCCTGACTTTGACTTCCACTTTCTTCTGCTTTGGGTCTGATGACATAACTGTGAGTATGGCATTTCTAAAAAATACTAGAATGTGAAAACATGGTACATACTTTTTACAACAGTTTTAATTCAACTAATCGTAGTTCCTGAAAGAAAAAAAATAGAATAAACAGTTCGGCGATGAGCTTGCTTGAGGCTATGAAAAGCACATTATTATAGATTTAAGGTGCTTTTTAAACCATATGTGACCCTGGACCACAAAACTTGTGTCAATTTTTCGAAATTGAGATTTATACGTCATCTGAAAGCGATTAATACATAAGTTTTTCATTGATGTATGGTTTGTTGTGATAGGACAATATTTGGCCGAGATACAACTATTTGAAAATCTGGAATCTGAGGGTGCAAAAACATCAAAATATTGAGAAAATCGCCTTTAAAGTTGTCCAAATGAAGTTCTTAGCAATGCATATTACTAATCAAAAATTAAGTTTTGATATATTTATGGTAGGAAATTTACAAAATATCTTCATGGAACATGATCTTTACATAATATCCTAATGATTTTTGGCATAAAAGAAAAATCGATAATTTTGACCCATACAATGTATTTTTGGCTATTGCTACATATATACCCCAGCGACTTAAGACTGCTTTTGTGCTCCGGGGTCACATTTTGATGTTCACATATATCCTAGACACTTTCTGACTGCTTTTCCTTCACTATCCACTCCAACTCATTAATTTAGTTTTAAATGAACGTGTTAGGTTTGAAAAACTTTTCTGGTGGGCACCATTTATATTTGTCTACAAAAGTAATTTAAGATCGTTAGAGACAAATTCAGACGTAGTTTAAAACTACAAGTAGTTTTTTTTTAACATATTTTGACATTTGACAACCTGAACACTACAGGGGCACGCTATGTGAAATATTTACTTTTTATTGTATTCTAAATGGTTATACCAGGTATAACTACACAATAACTATGTCAAAAATAAAAAATAAAGCAAAAATGTAAAAAGTATATATATAGCTGACTTTAAAATGTAAGTATCCCTCACACAAAGATGATTGATTTTGGGGGTCCATGCCATCTAAAAGACTGAAAATCACGTTCATTTTTATTTAGGGGGAAAAAGCTTAAACCTCTATTTCTTTAATTTTTTAAAAAATAATTTGTGCATTTTAATACACAGTCTTTGCATTTTGACTTTAATATCCACAAAAAAAACAAAAAAAAAACAATCAGAAAAAAAAACTTTCGGTAACACTTTAGTTTAGGGACCAATTGTCACTATTACTTAATTGCTTATTTGCATGTATATTACTAGCATATTGACTGTTTATTAGTACTTATAAAGCACATATTAATGCCTTATTCTGCATGACCATATTTTAGATCCATAATCCTACCCAATACCTAAATTTAACAACTACCTTATACCTAAAAATTAATAAGCAGCAAATTGGTAGATTTTTGAGGCAAAAGTCATAGTTAATAGTTAGTTAATAGAGAGAACTGGTCTCTAAAGTGTGAGCAAACTTTCACTATAGAAGATGTATTCAAATCAGTGTCTGTATCAGCTGCATTTTTTAATACATTCATAGATCTGTACACGAATAGTGAGCCCATTAAAGTCATTAAATCAATTGCATTTTACACAAAGCTATGGTAACTTGTCCTGATCACGTACAGATGTACATTGATATTTAATATATTTAACATTTTTCTCTGCAGACTTTCCTGCCCACTTTAATGGCTGATTATATACTCTACTATATCCAGTAAGTATGACGCTCATCAGATCTTCATAAGATCTTTCTGTATGTAAGCAATACGTTGTTTGTCTGATGATGCAGGACGTGGCTGACGCCGCTGCTGGTTTTGACTGTGAGTCTGTGCATACTGAGGTACTGCTGCAAACTCTGCAGTAAAGTCTCAGACACTGACTCAGATCTCGACCTGTCGAACAGCGACCATGTCTACGTGATTCCCAATCCCATTCATGTGAGAGAAGAGAGAGACGAACGAGACGAGACAAACTCTCATGATGATCTTGAGTTCACACCACCACCATATGAGCTAGTGTGTCCACCACCATCATATGCAGAGGTACAACTGTCTATCTAAAAAGCTAAACTGGTCTTAGATTGTCAACCAGTCTACTTTTCAGATGGTCAGAGTTTGTCATTAGCTCAAACTAACTAATACCTACTAAGCTAGTTTTATCTACAGAATGCATTTCTATGCACAGTATGTTGAAATGCTGTTTCAGCAGACTTCTGATACTTTTAATTGTTTTGTTTTTTTACAGTCCAGCTTTAAATTAAGCATTTCTGATGTTCGAGGTACTCCAGATTCAGAGATGGACACTTCCAACATACCGCCTCCACCGTACAGCCCACCTTTAAATATGATGTCACAATCATCCAGCCATCAACAATAGACACTGCTGAATATATATTTTTGTAGGTGTGATGATAACTAGTAGAACTATTGCATCTTTTTATTCTCATAACTGGAATTGTGTATGTGAAAGTTCATACCAAATAGGCAGAGCAGTTGGCATTTTCCCTGGAACTTGGTACAATTTTCCAGAACAATCATTCAGTACTAGATAAGTCGCTGTTTTAATGAGCAAATGAACCAAAGTCTGTCATACGGTTACTCAACAGTCCCACAGGAAGATCTTTACAGTTTTTACGTCAGAGATATTTCTTATCTTAAGAACAAGAAGTTTATTGCTTTTGCGAACCATGTCAAGAGGAGTAGCTGAAATGCAACCATATTTTTTTGTAACTATGTAAATCCATAATTACTGGGATAAATTCAGTTAAAGGGGTCATATGACGTTGCTAAAAAGAACATTATGTTGTGTATTTGGTGTGATGCAATGTGTTTATGCGGTTTAAGGTTAAAAAAACATTATTTTCCACATAATGTACCTCTTTTGGAAGGCCAAACAAAGTAATTTTGCTTTCACAACGAAACACACAGCATCACACACGGCGGGCTTGAGTGAGTGGAGGCCGGTGGCTTGAGTGAGGAACAGTCGGCAGGCTTGCGGCAACCACATGTGACGACCCCAGGCTGGACTCCGCTTCGTCCACGGTGAAAGGCAATCCACAGTGCAAAGTTGATGTATTTCCTCAGTGACCAGCACAGATCAGCTCTAGGCATGACGAAGCGGATATCGTCCTCTTTTGGAAGGCCAAACAAAGTAGTTTCGCTTTCACAACGAAACACACAGCGTCTTCACGACATGCTTGCAGGAGCAACAACAATACTACAGCGAGAATAAAAGTTACGCCTTCTTTCTTTGCGTGAACATTTGGGCGGCGTTATGCAAATCTTCCCACACAGTGACATAGACATGTGGGGGCGTGTTTAAACGAGGCGTTTTAGGAGGGCGTGCTGTGGACAAGTCTTAACTTTTATAAAGAATATCTCTTTGGGTTTGAGACTTTAGTCTTTGCAACTTTAGGGATCTTATCTATGCACGAACAGCTTGTAACACTCCAAAGAGAAAGGAACATTTGAAATTGCATCATATGACCCCTTTAAAATCTACATTAGACATGTTGGTAACACTTTAGTTTAGGGTCCAATTCTCACTATTAAGTAGTTGCTTATTACTAGTATAATGACTGTTTATTAGTACTTATAAAGCACATATTAATGCCTTATTCTGCATAACCACATTTTAGATCTCTTAATCCTACCCCATACCTAAACTTAACAACTACCTTATTAACTATTAATAAGCAGCAATTAGGAGTTTTATTGAGGAAAAAGTCATAGTTAATAGTTAGTTAATAATGAGAATTGTTCCGCAAACTAAAGTGTGACCGAAACGTATATGAACTAAATGGTAACACTTTATTTTGATAGTCCACTTTGAACATTCTACTATAGCTGCTTTGCAACTGCATGTCAACTAGTGTATTAGTAGACTGTCTAACATCTGCTAACACTTTATTTTGATGATCCCCCCAATAGACATTCTGCTGACTATAAGTAACTTTGTAAGTAAATGTCAACTTATTCTACTA